GAGGTTGCAGTGAGCCGAGACTACACCACTGTACTCCAGCCTGGGTGACAGAGTGAGACTCCATCTCAAACAAAAACAAAAACAAACAAAAAATATCTTTTTGTTCCCAGTTTTGGGTATGTCATTATCAGCAGTGCAAAAATGGACGAATACAGTAAATTGGTACCAGGAGTGGGGTGTTGCTGACAAGATATGTAAAAATGTGGACGTGACACTGAAACTGGGTAACAGGCAGAGGTTGGAACAGTTTGGAGGGCTCAGAAGAAGACAGGAAAATGTGGGAATGTTTCAAACTTCCTAGAGACTCATTGAATGACTTTGCCAAAATGCTGATAGTGATATCGACAATAAAACTCAGGCTGAGGTGGTCTCAGATGGAGATGTGGAACTTGTTGGGAACTGGAGGAGAGGCAACTCTTGTTATGTTTTAGCAAAGAGACTGGTGGCATTTTGCCCCTGCCTTAGAGATCTGTGGAACTTTGAACTTGAGAGAGATGATTTAGAGTATCTGGTGAAAGAAATTTCTAAGCAGCAAAGCATTCAAGAGGTAACTTGCAGGTTGGAAGTGGTGGCTCACGCCTGTAATCTCAGCACTTTGGGAGGCCAAGGTGGGCGGATTACCTGAGGTCAGGAGTTCAAGACCAGCCTGGCCAAGATAGTGAAACCCTGACAAAAAATTAGCCAGGTGCAGTGGTGCACACCTGGTGCCACCTACTCAGGAGGCTGAGACAGGAGAATCGCTTGAACCCAGGAGGTAGAGGTTGTAGTGAGCTGAGATCACACCACTGCACTACAGCCTAGGCAACAGAGTGAGACTCTCTCTCTCAAAAGAAAAAAAAGAAAAAGTCACTTGCAATAGAAAGAAAAGCCCATTTTCTGGGGAGAAATTCAAGCCAGCTTCATAAATTTGCATAAGTAGCAAGGAGCCTAATGTTAATCCCCAAGACCATGGAGAAAATGTCTCCAGACCATGTCAGAGAACTTCCTCGCAGCCCCTTTCATCACAGGTCTAGAGGCCCAGGAGGAAAAGTGTTTTTTTTTTTTTTTTTTTTTGAGGGGGGGTGTAGCTCTGTCGCCCAGGCTGGAGTGCAGTGGCCGGATCTCAGCTCACTGCAAGCTTCGCCTCCCGGGTTCACGCCATTCTCCGGCCTCAGCCTCCCGAGTAGCTGGGACTACAGGTGCCCGCCACCTCGCCCGGCTAGTTTTTTGTATTTTTTAGTAGAGACGGGGTTTCACCGTGTTAACCAGGATGGTCTCGATCTCTTGACCTCGTGATCCGCCCGTCTCGGCCTCCCAAAGTGCTGGGATTACAGGCTTGAGCCACCGCGCCCAGCTGGAAAAGTGGTTTTGTGGGCCAGGCCCCAGGTCCCTGTGCTGTGTGCATCCTAGGGACTTGGTGTCCGGTGTCCCAGCTGCTCCAGCCATGGCTGAAAGGTGCCAACACAGAGCTCGGGCTGTGGTTTCAGAGGGTGGAAGCCCCAAGCCTTGGCAGCTTCCACATGGTATTGAGTCTGTGGGTACTCAGAAATCAAGAGTTCAGGTTTGGGAACCTCCGCCTAGATTTCAGAAGATGTATGGAAATGCCTGGATGCCCAGGCAAAAGTTTGCTGCAGGGGTGGGGCCCTCATGGAGAACCTCTGCTAGGGTGGTGCAGAAGGGAAATGTGGGATTCAGAGCCCCCACACAGAGTCCCTACTGGGGTACTGCCTAGTGGAGCTGTGAGAAGAGGGCCACCATCCTCTAGACTCTGGAATGGTAGATTCACTGACAGCTTGCACTGTGCGCCTGGAAAAGCCACAGACACTCACTACCAGCCCGTGAAAGCAGCCAGGAGGGAGCCTGTACCCTGCAAAGCCACAGGAGTGGAGCTGCCCAAGACCATGGGAACCCTTCTCCTGCATTTGGTGACCTGGATGTGAGACCTGGAGTCAAAGGAAATCATTTTGGAGCTTTAAAATTTGACTGCCCTGCTGGATTTCAGACTTGCATGGGCCCTGTAACTCCTTTGTTTTGGCCAACTTCTCCTATTTGGAATGGCTGTATTTACCCAATACCTCCATCCCCATTATATCTAGGAAGTAACTAGCTTGCATTTGATTTTACAGGCTCATAGGCAGAAGGGACTTGCCTTGTCTAAGATGAGGCTTTGGACTGTGGACTTTTGGGTTAATTCTGAAATGAGTTAAGACTTTGGGGGACTGTTGGGAAGGCATGATTGGTTTTGAAATGTGAGGACATGAGATTTGGAGGGGGCTGGGGTGGAATGATATGGTTTGGCTGTATCCCCACCAAAATCTGAACTTGAATTGTATCTCCCAGAACTCCCAAGTGTTGTGGGTGGGACCCAGGGGGAGCTCATTGAATCATGGGGGCCAGTCTTTCCTATGCTATTCTTGTGATAGTGAATAAGTCTCATGAGATATGAAGGGTTTATCAGGGGTTTCCACTTTTGTTTCTTCCTCACTTTCTCTTGCCACCACCATGTAGGAAGTGTCTTTCACCTCCCGCCAAGATTCCAAGGCCTCCTTAGTCATGTGGAACTGTAAGTCCAATTAAACCTCTTTTTGTTCCCAGTTTCAGGTATGTCTTTATCAGCAGTGTGAAAATGGACTAATACATATATCCATTAAATATATATCTATAATTAACCACTTCTCTCTACCTCCACTGCTCCACTCTAAGCCACCACCATCGCTTGCTTGAACTACTGCAGTAGTGTCCTCCCTGGTCTCCTGGCTTCTACTGTCATTCCCTGCAGTCCATCCTCCCATAACAGTTAGGGACCATGTTAAATCTAACACAGACCATGTCCCTCCTCTGCTCAAAACCTTCCCATGGCTCCCTATTCTTCTTAGAGTGAAAGCAAAATCTTTCCTCTGGTCCTTAAGCCCCTAGGTCACCTGGTTTTGCCAATAATCTCTGATCTATTGTTTTGTTTGTTTTTTCTTTTTTTGACAGAGTCTTGCTCTGTCACCCAGGCTGCAGTGCAGTGGCGCAATCCTGGCTCACTGCAACCTCTGCCTCCCGGGTTCAAGTGATTTTCCTGTCTCAGCCTCCCAAGTAACTGGGATTACAGGTGTACGCAACCATGCCTGGCTATTTTTTTTTTTTTTGTATTTTTAGTAGAGACCAGGTTTCACCATGTTGGCCAGGCTGGTCTTGAACTCCTGACCTCAAGTGATTGACCCACCTCGGCCTCACGAAGTGCTGGAATTACAGGCATGAGCCACTGTGCCCAGCCACCTGACCTATTTTCCTACTACTCTTCCGTTTGCTCACCTGGCTCTACTGGTCTCTTTGTTGTTCTTCAAACATGCCCAGGATGGCCCCATTTCAGGGCTTTTGTACTTGCTGTTCCCTCTGCTTGGGACATCCTTCTTCCAGATAGCACACGGCTCCCTCCCTCATTCCTCCAGGTCTCTGCTCCTCAGAGAGGCCTTCCCTGACCACCTTGTCTAAAAACTGCACTTCCAGCCTAGGCAAGATAGCAAGGCCCTCCATCTCTACAAAAAATTTACAAAAAATTAGCTGGGTGTGGTGGCGCACACCTGTAGTCCCAGCTACTTGGGAGGCTGAGGTGGGAGGATTGGTTGAACCCAGGAGTTCAGGTTACAACAAGCTGTGATTGTGCCACAGCACTCCAACCTGCGTGACAAACAAACAAACAACAACAACAACAACAACAACAAAAACTGCACTCCCAGGCTTTCTGCCCCATTGCCTTAGCGTACAGTCCTAGCATGAATAACTTACAGAACTCATTTGTGTTGTCTTGATTCTTGGCTGCACCTACTTACCTGGTTCAGGAGCAGTGCCTGGCACACAGTAGGCACTTAGTGAGAGGCTGAACGATGGAGAGCTGAGCCTGAACAGGTCTGACCTGTTCTTCCTGCTTTCAGGCCAGGACTGAATAGTGATTGGGAGGTGGCAGGTGGTGGAGAAGAGGCGTCAGGAACAGGAAGTAAGGAAGGGTTCAAGGAACTGGAACTGTGTTATTTTGGGCAGGGCAAAAACAACAGCAATTCCTACTTCTTGAGAGCTTTCTTTTGTGCCGTGCACTTTACATATCATGATCGTCTTTATTTTCTGGATGAGGAACCGGAGGCTTAGAGAAGTGAAATGATTTCTTTAAGCTCACACACTGTTCAGTGGCCTAGTGCGACTCGAACTCAAGTCTGCCCCATTCCAGAACTTTCTTCACCTGGAGCCAGGGGAAGCTTGCGAGGCGCCCTGTCCGTATGGAACAGTGCTGTATGGAAATGTACTGGATTCAGCTGTTTTCTGCCAATTACACATTTTTCAGGAGTTAGAGCTATTTTTCTAATATAACTGGGAGTTAAATTTGCTAAACCTGGCAACCCAGGTTTAGCAAATACTTTTATTATTTGTAGAGATGGTGGTCTCCCTATGCTGCCCAGGCTGGTCTTGAACTACTGGCTCCTGCCTTGTCCTAGGGGGAGTTTGGACTTAAGCCTAGGACTTCAGCGAATGGCCCGCCCAGGATCCCCAAATGCTTTTTCCAGGCTAATCCACGACCTGGGCCGGTCCTTACCTTTGGAATCGCAATGAGCTTCCCGGGCTCGAATCCTCTTTTCTGGGCTAGGGCACTGGGGAGTCGAGAGCCACGAGCGGACCCTTTAAGAGTGATTTCGAGGGCGGGCTCACGGGGGCGTGGCGAATCCGGGGGCGTGCCGGTTCGGGGCCGGCCAATCGGGAGGCGGGAAGAACGCGAGGGCGGTCCCGGCACGAGCAGGCTGGGAAGGGTTAAAGGGGCGCGCCCGTGGGTCGCGGACTGTCCGGTTGCTCCCGCCTCCTTCCGTCGGATCTGAGCTCTCCCGCGGCTGCGCCGCCCCGGCCGCCCAGGAGACAAAGCGCTGCTGCCGCCGTTGCCGCAACCGGGCCAGTCCTGGACCATGACCGGGCCACCCCCCAGCCTCGCGCCTCCCGTCCCGTCGCCGCCCTAGGCCTGCGCTGCGAGGTAAGGCGGGCCTGGCGGGGGGACCTGCACCGGGACACGGGACCCGGGTCAGGCCGCCCTGGGCCTCGGGGTTCCCCGGCCACCTGGAGAGCGCGCTGCGGGGATCTTCCCTGTTGGGACTTTGCACCAGTGGTCACTTCTCCAGCTGCCGAGGCGAACTTGGCCGATGACCACCCTCCCTGCCCTCAGCCCATAGGGACGTCTGCCGCTGTGGGGGACTGCGGACAAGCCCCCTATTCTGCCGCTGATCACCCATCTGGGGCCCTGACTGTCCTTTAAGGAACTTAAGAGAGCTGCCACGCACAACACACAAAGGGACAGAGAGCAGCCGGGAGCAGGGCCACACCTGGAGAAGCAGCCCCTGCCGTGGGCAAGGGGGCTGCCAGTGTCTGGACGGCGGTGCTGGCACGTCCCTGGGGTCCCTGCTGTTGCGCTGACGGACAGGCTGGTCTTCAGGGTTCTTGGCACACATGTTTTTCAGCCTGTTCCTGCCACACCCTCTTCCCCACGCCCGCTGCTGGGGGACACTGAGGGCAGCTGGATTCAACCCCAGGACCTGTGGTTCTGGCTTCTTTCGTTAAAGTGAGTGCCAAAATGCCATGCTTCAGTCTCCCCAAAGACCTGGGTTCCAGGGCCAGCTGTGCCCCTGGAGATCTTGGATGAATTATTTGCCTTTTTGACAGCTCTTTCCCTGAAAGCATTTTGCAAAATGACTCTTCAGGAGTGAATTCACTCAGCCCATAGAGGGATGGAAGTTAACATCCCCATTTTGCAGATGAGGCTGAGAAAACTCCGACTCACAGCAGCTAATACTTGCAATCCATTTCCCATAGTTTGCCAGTGGGTTTTCCTTCTTTTAGCTCATGGACCCTTGCCACACAGCCCATTTTAACAGACGAGGAAACTGAGGCTTGGAAAGGTGAAACGACTTGTCCAAGGCCTTCCAGCCTGGACCTGCAGAGGCAGGAACTTTGCCTTGGGAGCAGCGCGGGGCCAGGCTCCCTCCAGCTTCCTGTCTGGCCCTGGGCTGTTGAATCAGCAGCAGTGCCCACAGTGGACTCTGAACTTCTTGGAAAACAGTGTGGGGAGATAAGGCAGGGACCAGGCCTTCGCTCCAGGCAAGGCTGGAGCCTGTGCCCCTGCAGTTTCCTGCCTTCCCTGTTCTGGTGGAGGCAGGGGTCATGGGCAGAGCTGGGTCCTGTGTCTGCTGGTGACTTTGAAGCAGTTTGGCCTCCATCTGGGCAGTGCAGGGAGGAGGTTTGCTGAGCAGGAGGGAAGTTGCTATTCCTTTGGCCTTGATGGGGTGGAGAGACCCCAAGATCGGCTCCTTTATTTGGGTGGCTTGCCTGGAGCATGTGATTCTGGGCACGGTTGTATGCCTCTGGCCAACTTATTGAACCTCCCTGTGTCCATTTCCACATCTGTGAATGTGGGGTGAGACCCCTTGTCATGGTGCCGTTGAGAAGTTTCAGAAGATACCTACAGAATGAATCAAACAGCTATGTGAGCACCTACTGCATGCCTGGCACTGGAATTCAGACCATAAACGCCCCAGCTTTCCTAGAGCAGGCAAAAATGACCCAGGTATTAATAATTTCAGGTGGAGGCACAGGAGAGGGACTGGAGGGCCTCTTACGCATAGGGTGGCCAGGGACCACCTCTCTGAGGAGGTGACAGCTAGGCTGAGACCAAAGGATGGGGAACTGGCCTTGTGAAGACCTGCAGGCAGACAGCCGGGACCAAGTCTTGGAGGTGGGGATGTATCTGGTGTATTTAAGGAACAGAAAGGAGGCCAGGATGGCTGGAGCTGAGTGAACAAGGGGGAAAGAGGTAGGAAAAGGGAACTTGGAAGCCATGGGAGGCTTGGACTGTTTTTTTTTTTTTTTTTTTTTTTTTGAGGCAGGATCTCACTATGTTGCCCAGGCTGGAGTGCAGTGGCATGATCACTCCCAAGTTCAAGGAGTCCTTCCATGTTAGCCTCCCAGACAGCTAGGACTAGAGGCTTGTGTCAACATGCCCAGCTATTTCTGTTCTATTTTTTGTGGAGGTAGGGTCTTGCTGTGTTGTCCAGGCTGGTCTCTAACTCAAGTGATCCTCCTGCCTCAGCCTCCCAAAGTGCTAGCATTACAGGTGTGAGCCACCGCACCCTGCCTAAGGATTTAATTTTATGCTGAGAGAAGTAGGGAGCCATGGGAGGGTTTAGAGCAGAGGAGGAGTGTGATTGGACTTAATTTTCGCAGGATCCCTCTGTGGGGAGTGGATTTCAGTGTGGCTCGGAGAAGAACCTAGGAAGGAGGCTTGGATCTTACCTTGAGGAACATGGACGGGGGGGAAGGAGACTTGTGTGGAGGCTACAGCAGCCGTTCCAGTGAATGGTGATGGGGCCTAGAATGGGGAGGTGGAGTGGACAGATTAGGCAACTGATTTGGAAGATGCTGGAGAGCGGGGATCAACTGGACTTGATATGTGATCAGATGTGGGGGTGAGAGGGAAACCAAGGGCCATTTGCTGAGATCAGAAGTATGACACGGGGACATTTGGGGAAAAGCCAAGAAGAATGTGAACTGCAGCTGTGCTCAGCAGGCATTGTGTGCCTGGCCCCGTGCTTGGCAAAGTCCGTGTAGTCACTGTATCATTGTCACAACAGCCCTGACTTAGGCACTGTTATGATCCCATTTTACAGATGCAGAAACGGAGGCCCAGAGAGGTTAATAGCCTGCCTGGGGTCCCCCAGCCCAGATGCTGCAGAGCTGACATTTGAATCCAGAGAAGAGCAAGCTGAGGCTGGAGCTGAACAGAGGGCAGGGAGGCGAGTGGTGGCCTGAGAGGTAGGAGCGGAACTGGGCAAGTCGGAGGGGAGGGTCCTGTGAGAACTGGGGCCAGCATCCACATGGGAGTTGATGGGTGGTGGTGTGGGGAATGCGTGAATCCCTGTGGCTTAGAGAGGGACAGCTGTATCTGAGAGGCAGGGTTCTGCATTGAGTTCAATAAGTCCTCTGTATTGAGTTCTGTGATACATGTGCAGAACATGCAGGTTTGTCACATAGGTATACGTGTGCCATGGTGGCCTGCTGCACCTATTGACCTGTTCTCTAAGTTCCCTCCCCTCACCCCCATCACCCAACAGGCCCCTGTGTGTGTTCTGCCCCTCCCTGTGTCCACGTGTTCTCATTGTTCAACTCCTACTTATGAGTAAGAACATGCAGTATTTGGTTTTCTGTTCCTGTGTTAATTTGCTGAGGATGATGGCTTCCAGCTTCATCTATTTCCCTGCAAAGGACATGATCTCATTCCTTTTTATGGCTGAATAGTTTTCCATGGTGTATATATACCACATTTTCTTTATACACTCTATCATTGATGGGCATTCTCTCAGTTTCTAAGTCACAATTCATGTTCCCTCTTCTAGGAAGCCTTCCCTGACTGCCTATGTGGGTGACAGGAGGTGGCAAGGACAACCCCTTCCACCCTAGGTCAGGTAGTCCGACAGGGCCTCACTGTGGTCAGCTGCTCCTAGGAGAGCCACCACCCTGACCTCATTCCACCAGGCTCTGAGAAAGACGCCACCCAGGCAGGGCAGTGAACACTGAGTGCCTACTGCGTACCAGGACTTTATATGCTTTGCCTCTTGAAAAATGTAGCTACCATCCTATGCAGGCTGAGGCTCTACAGTGGGAGATAAGGTGGGCTCTTAAAATGGCCGTGGAAAACCCCAAGGGAAGGTGGCCAGGCCAGGGACACAGATGCCACCTCCCGATAAGTCCTTCCTGGCCAGCATTGCCCCATCGTATACTCCTTGGGGGAAAGTGAATGGGGTCACTGTGGCTGATGGCATGGAGTTAGAGTCCTCTATGCTAAATGGCATGGGACGCCCCCCTGCCCCTCCTTTCTGTAAGTCAGCCTAACCCTGGGTTTGCATGTTTGCCCAGATTCTTTCTTTTTTTTGAGATAGAGTCTGGCTCTGTCCCCAGGCAGGAGTGCAGTAGTGCGATCTCGGCTGACTGCAACTTCTGCCTCCTGGGTTCAAGCAGTTTTCCTGCCTCAGCCTCCCAGGTATCTGGGATTATAGGCACTCCCCACCGGGCCTGGCTTTTTTTTTTTTTTTTTTTTTTTTGAGATGGAGTCTTGCTCTGTTGCCCAGGCTGGAGTGCAATGGCGTGATCTTGGCTCACTGCAACCTCCGCCTCTTGGGTTCAAGTGATTCTTCTGCCTCAGTCTCCCAAATAGCTGGGATTATGGGTGTGCACCACTACACCTGGCTGGTTTTTTTTTATTTTTAGTAGAGATGGGGTTTTGCCATGTTGGCCAAGCTGGTCTTGAACTCCTGACTTCAGGTGAGAAGGATCGGCCTTGGCCTCCCAAATCCCTGGGATTACAGGCGTGAGCCACTGCGCCCAGCCCCTGTCTTATTTTCCACAGGACATGAGACTACCTGGCAGACATCTTATCTGTTAACTGCTCCCTTTCACTTGCCAGTGGCATTTCAACACCACAAGGGCAGGGACCCTGTCCGTCTTGTTTTTGCTCTATCCCTAGGCCTGGAACAGTGCCTGGCACACAGTAGATGCTTCATAAACATTCCATGAATGAAGTCAATCTCTACAAGTCTCTGAAGTTGGTTCTGCTCATATCCCTATTTCATGGACGGACAAATCAAGGTCGAACCACAGTCAGGGCTGGGACCTGGCAGGGACTGCGGAAGGCCAGCTGGTCTTGTTCTTGGGATGATGGAAACAGCAGCGCCTGAAATGAGGCCTGGGTTTGGATTTCAGCCCTGCCCAACCTGCTTTGTGACACCGGGGAAGCAGTTAACCTCTCTGTGCCTGTTTCCTCATCTGTTGAACCCGAGCCAGGCCAGTCCCTGTAACCTAAGGTCTATTGTGAGATCAAGTGAGTTCATCCCTCTGAAATGTCTGGCATGCGGTAGGAACTCACAACATTATTTCAGGGATACAGGAGGGCAGGAGGTTATGAGGCTGTCTGGGGAGGCTGGTGAGACCCAGGTTCTAGTCCTGTCTCTGCTCCTTAGGAGTTGTGGGCACATGGGCTGCCTGCTTCCACCCTGTGAGTGTCAGTTTTCTCATCTGTGAAACGGGGATGTAGAGTGGCCGCAAGGTCCCCTCGGGGCACTGGGTGACCTAGCATCAGTGGTATTGTGCGTAACAGCCCTTCCATGGGGTCCAGGCCCCGGGCTCCCCTCCAGGCCCGGCGATTGCGGCCATGAAGCTGAACGAGCGCAGCCTGGCCTTCTACGCCACCTGCGACGCCCCAGTGGACAACGCAGGCTTCCTGTACAAGAAGGGCGGGCGACACGCAGCCTACCACCGGCGCTGGTTCGTCCTGCGTGGGAACATGCTCTTCTACTTCGAGGATGCGGCCAGCCGCGAGCCTGTGGGCGTCATCATCCTGGAGGGCTGCACCGTGGAGCTGGTGGAGGCCGCGGAGGAGTTCGCCTTCGCCGTGCGCTTCGCGGGGACCCGGGCGCGCACCTACGTGCTGGCCGCTGAGAGTCAGGCCGCCATGGAGGGTTGGGTCAAGGCCCTGTCGCGTGCCAGCTTCGACTACCTGCGGCTGGTGGTACGTGAGCTGGAGCAGCAGCTGGCGGCTGTGCGCGGCGAGGGTGGCATGGCCCTGCCCCAGCCTCAGTCCCTGCCCTTGCCCCCGTCCCTGCCCTCTGCCCCGGCCCCAGTCCCATTCCTGCCCTCTGCCCCGGCCCCAGTCCCAGCCCTGCCCCTGCCCCGCCGGTCCAGCGCCCTCCCGCCCAAGGAGAATGGCTGCGCTGTCTGGAGCACTGAGGCCACCTTCAGACCTGGACCCGAGCCCCCTCCGCCACCGCCTCGCCGCCGGGCCTCGGCACCCCACGGGCCCCTGGACGTGGCCCCCTTCGCCCGGCTGCACGAGTGCTATGGCCAGGAGATCCGGGCCCTGCGCGGCCAGTGGCTCAGCAGCCGGGTCCAGCCCTGAGGCCACCAGGGCACCTGTTTTAGGGGGACGCAAGCTCCATGCCCTCTGGGACAGGCCGGGTACTGGAGAGACTGGGGGAGCTGGTCCTGAGGGAAATCATGGGCAAAGCTGGCTTCCAGTCCCTGAATGGCCTGGTTTTGGGGGATGCAGGCTCTGAGAAGGTGCTGGATTCTGAATGGGCCTTTAGGACCATGTGATTCAGAAGGCCTACCCTTGAGAGGACCTCACACGCGACACTAAGGAGAATCCAGGGCCTGAGGGGGAGGTTTCCTGAGAACTCTGGCCCCAGGCTGGCCTGAGCTGCCTGGCAGAGGCCTTTGCTGGCAACAGCCCTTGCTGGGCCTGCAGCTCAGAGGGTCACTGGGACTGAGGACAATCTGTGGCCTGAAAAGCAAATGCACAGTTAGTGCGGCTCCTGACCGGGCCCTCAGGGTGGATAGAGAGAGGATCGGTTGTGGCAGCTACACCTGGGCCTGGCCTTGCTCCAGGACCTGCCAGAGGAGCTGACCTGGCTCCGTGCCTGCCTGTCTCCAGGAGCAGGACAGTGGCTTGGAGGGTGGCGACTGGGGACACAGGTGCAGGTGTTAGTGCAGGACCGGAAGGGTGAGGTTGCCTGGTCGCTGGGGCTCCTGGCCTGGGCCGGCTGAGGCAGGACTCTGCCGGGTCCCCTGCCAGGCCTTATGGTGGTGCTCCTGGTGGTAGTGGCTTTCTGGCTGCAGGCCCTGTCTTTGTCTCCGTGGTGGCTCTCACAGGGCTTTCCAGACACTCCTTGACTGCATCCTTCAGTCTTGGCCCCCAGGCCTGGGGCCCCTTGGGAGCTCTCCTGACCTCCCTTTCTGGGCTGGGCAGCCATGGCCCGAGGTGACCTTCTAGCAGGTTCCCCCAGGGAGGGGAGGCCACTAGCTGACTCACCACCTAAGATGGCCCAGGTACTGACCTAGTGGCAGAGAAAACACAGCCTCACACCGAATGCAACTTCCAGAACCCCTCTTCAGCTTCAGGCAGCCCCCTCCAACAGGTCCCCTCCTGAGCTCAGTCCCCACCCCATACTCCCGGTGGGGACCAGGTCTTGCCTGGCTTCGGGGCTAACCGCCGGTCCCCTTTCTTCTCACCACAGTGCCCATTCTTCATCCAGGGAGAACCTCGGGGCTGGGAATACCCTCTGGCCCTCACCCTGGGTCATGTTTACAGTCCTCAATGCCCCACACCAGGGGCCGCCTGAGGACACCCCCACCCTGACCTTGATTTTCCCAAACGCTGCCTCTTGGTGACAGACTCAGCCTGAAACCCCTTCTTTCTGTCTTTGGAGACCCTTGGGCTTGGGGAAATATGGAGGGGGGTGTGTCTGCAATCAAGGCCTCTCCAGCTCACGGCTGGCCCGGTGGGCTGGGACCTCAGTCTGAATTTTAAATACTTAGGGTGCATTTTTTTTTTTCTGGCAACAAAACTTGATGTTTTCACTGCTTTAGTTTCCTGTTTGCTGGTGGGAGGGGATATGATCTGTGACTCTGGGCTTGGCTTGGGGGAACAGTTGTCCCTGCTGCTGGGGAGAGGGGCAGCTTGGGCTGGAGAAACACAGCCAGAGACAGAGCCCCTTGAGAGGGATCCTTGGCTGCTTCATTGTCTTCCCCCCAGCAAGCCCTGCTCTCCTCCACAGGCACCTCTGGGGTCTTGGTACGGTCCCCGCTCACCTCCTTCCAGAGTCCTGAGCGGTGTGGGTGGGGGTGGCACAGGATCTGGGGCTTGGGAGGGGTTCGGAGCTGCCCAGAGCCCCGTGTCCTGGCAGACTCAGCGGGTGGGGTGAGGTGTTAACCCCAGTCCTGGCGTAGGTTTACAGACTCTCAAGGTACGCTGGCCCTGGTGTCCTGGGAGAGAGGGGTGGGGGATGTCCCCTACCAAAGCACAAGGTGGGGTCAGGCTGCCTCCCAGGTTGGGTGTCGGGGGAGCTTTCTGGCAGCCTGGGAGGGAGATGCAAGGGCTAAAATAAAATTTTGTCAAGTAATGGCTGATCGTGTCATTTTTTTCCCCATCAAAATCCTTGATTGATTTCCCTGATAGAGCCCAGAGCAGGCTGTGCAAGGGCAGGGACTAGTGGGTGATACCACATGGCTGGTGCCCTGCCAGGCGCATTCTCACTTCTCAAGGCAGATGCTGGTCCCATTTTACAGATGTGGGAAACAGGCTCCTTGAGGTTATGAAACTTGCCAAAGCCACTTAGCTGGAGAGTATCAGAGCAGGGATGTAAATCTCTGGAATCCCATGACAGGATAGAGTCTTCAGGAGGAATATGAGGGAAAATGGAGCCCAAAGTTCCTTTCAGAAGGGAGAGAAGGCAGGGAAAAGCCAAGGATTTGAAAGCTAACTGGGCTGAAGACCTGAGAGTTGGGAGGGACATTAACAATCCTGATTAGGATGGCAGATGGAATAGTCGAAACTGCATGCTTCTCACTGATAAGTTCATGGAGGCTGTGGAGGGAGCTGGAGTGAAGACTCTGGCACCGATGCAAGTTCAGAAGGAAAGAGCCTGTGATTGATTAGTAATATCTGCCGTGAGCACCACGTGCCTGGTAGTGGTGCTCATGCCATGTATCCGCTCTCTGACTGATTGAGTCTGTCTACTGGGTTAATGGGGGTTCACAGAAGGGGCTGGCCCAAGGTGGCCTAGCATGATGGACTTAAGCCCTAGGTCCTCTTCACATGGACTCAGTTTGGGTCACAGGTCTCCCTTGCAGGCCTGGAAAAATCCTGTACATTTAGGAACATGTGGCTTAGGGTGAGCAACCTATAGTCCTCATGTTCAAGAAATGAAAAGTATGAAGATCAGGGAATCGTGGCCCTTGTGAGCATCCAGTGCATGCTGAATAATTTTTTCCATCTCTTGTGGGACCACAGCTGACAGATGGGGGCTGGGGAAGTGGCTCCCCACACAAGCTGAGTCAGGGCACTGCCTGTGGCATTTGTGACCGCAGCCACCGTACAGCATGGGGCAAAGAGTGGGGGAAATAGTGGGAGAGAAAAACAGCTCCAAGAGGGAGGGTCAGCAGCAAAATGCTGGACATCCAACTGCTGATATGTCAGTGATTCCTCTGGACCCAGGGGAGGTGTTCAGGGCACAAGTCTAAGGGGGCACCATATGTGGTCAGAAGGAATATTCTGAGAAGCCACTTGGGGTAGAAGGTGAGGCCCTCAAGCAGGACAATGCAGTGAGAAGTTAGGCTGATTGCCAAACATCCTTCCACCCTAAATAGTCAAATTCAAACAGTTATGCTGCTATAGGCTCTCAGGGAATAGCTAAACTTTAGCTGCCAGAGAGTGGCCGTGTGGCCTGATTTTGGCCAATGAGATGTGAGTTGGAAGAGTCTTCCTTCCAAAATACACAATAAAGAGCTCTTCATTGGCCAGGTGCGGTGGCTCACACCTGTAATCCCAGCACTTTGGGAGGCCAAGGCAGGCAAATCACGAGGTCAGGAGTTCGAGACCAGCCTAACCAATGTAGTGAAACCCTGTCTCTACTAAAAAGTACAAAAATTACCCGGGCATGGTGGTGCGCGCCTATAGTCCCAGCTACTCGGGAGGCTGAGGCAGGAGAATCGCTTGAACCCAGGAGGTGGAGGTTGCAGTGAGCCGAGATCGTGCCACTGCACTCCAGCCTGGGCAACAGAGAAGATTCTGTTCCAAAAAAAAAAAAAAAAAAAAAAAAGGCTCTTCATTGTTCTCTGTGGGGATGGAGAAGGGGCAGTAATGTCTGTGATGTCTGGAACTGTGGCATCCATCTTGCAGTCATGAAGTTGACCACTCTAAAGGAAATGCCCCATACTGAGTTTGGCACACATTTGAGGGTGGTTCTGGGTAACCAATTGCAGGGCTGTTGTTGGCTCAGTGGGGTGCGGGTTGGGGCTAGAATGGGATTCCCTGTTACAGTAAAGGGGCCACTGCTTCTTATCCCTTCCTAAAGTGTGAACAAATATTGAAGGAAGATCATGTCCCCCTATGGCCCTGCCTCTCGGATGTTCCTAAGTGGGGCTGCTTTGTCCCTGCTATGTGCTATGTGGTTAGATCTGGTGCCAACTGTCTGCTCCCCCAGCCCCTCTGCGGATGACTTTGCCACACTCACCTTGCACAAACTTTGTTATGAAAAAGTTCCTGCGGCCGGGCACGGTGGCTCACACCTGTAATTTCAGCACTTTGGGAGACTGAGGCGGCAGATCATCTGAGGTAGGGAGTTCGAGACCAGCCTGACCAACGTGGAGAAACCCCGTCTCCACTAAAAATACAAAATTAGCTGGGCATGTGGTGCACGCCTGTAATCCCAGCTACTTGGGAGGCTGAGGCGGAGAATCGCTTGAATCTGGGAGGTGGAGTTTGTTCAGCCTGAGCAACAAGAGTGAAACGCCGTGTCACCAAAAAAAAAAAAAAAAAAAAGTTCCTGCTACTTGTTCTAACTTCTAAAACCTCAGCATTCAACATGAAACTCTTCCAAGATGGTAAAAGAATAAGTTGTCTAAGCCTAGCTGTAGGTTTTGCATTTTTCTGATGAAGACTTTTTAAAAAGGTGGGCAAAATATTTGCAAGTCATTTGCAATCTGATATGCAGAATATAGAGATATCCTAAAAACAACAACAAAAAACAACCTTATTTAAAATTGGGCAAAAGGCCAGGCAAGGTTGTTCATGCCTGTAATCCCAGCACTTTGGGAGACCACGGTGGGCAGATCACCTGAGGCCAGAGGTTTGAGACCAGCCAGGCCAACATGGTAAAACCCTGTCTCCACTAAAAATACAAAAATTAGCCAGGCGTGGTGGTGGGTCCCTGTAGTCCCAACTACTTGGGAGGCTGAGGCAGGAGAATTGCTGGAACCCAGGAGGTGGGAGGTTGCAGTGAGCCAAGATGGCACCACTGGGTGACAGAGCGAGACTCCATTTCAAAAAACAAAACAAAACAAATAATACGGGCATGGTGGCTCACGCCTGTAATCCCAGCACTTTGGAAGGCCGAGGTGGGAGGATCACCTGAGGTCAGGAGTTTGAGACCAGCCTGGCCAACATGGTGAAACCCTGTCTCTACTCAAGATACAAAATTAGCCGGGCGTGGTGGCAGGTACCTGTAATCCCAGCTACTCAGAAGACTGAGGCATGAGAATTGCTTGAACCCGGGACGGGGAGGTTGCAGTGAGCCGAGATCATGCCATTGCACTCCAGCCTGGGGGTAGAGCAAGACTCTGTCTCCAACAAAAAAAAAAAAAAAAAAAAAAAAAAGGCAAGACTTGAGCAGACATTTCTCCAAAGAAGATATGTAAATGGCCAATAAGCAATAAGTACATGAAAAGATGCTCACCATCAGTAATCAGTAGCAAAACACAAGTCAAATTAGGATGGCTACAGTCAACACAGAAAATAACAAGTGTTGGCCAGAATGTGGAGAAATTGTACAACCCTTGTGCACTGTTGGTGGGAATGTAAAATGATGCAGCCACTGTGGAAAAACGTGTGGTGGTTCCTCAAATAGTACAAATAGAATTATCATATGATGCAGCAAGTCACTGCTTGGTATATATCCGAAAGAATTGAAAGCAGAGTTTTTTGTTTTTTGTCTTTTTGAGATGGAATTTCGGTCTGTCACCTGAGCTGGAGTACAGTGGCACGATCTCGGCTCACTGCAACCTCTGCCTCCTGGGTTCAAGCAATTCTCCTGCCTCAGCCTCCCGAGTAGCTGTAGCTGGGATTACAGGCTCCTGCCACCATGCCCGGCGAATTTTTGTATTTTTAGTAGAGATGGGGAGGCTGGTCTCGAACTCCTGACCTCAGGTGGTCCACCTGCCTCGGCCTCCCAAAGTGCTGGGATTTCAGGCGTGAGCCACTGTGCCCAGCGGTTTTTTTTTTTTTTTTTTTTTTTTTTCTTATAGAGACAGGGTCTTGCCCTGTTGCCCAGGCTGGAGTGCAGTGGTGACACCATTTAGGCTCACTGCAGCCTCAATCACCCTGGTCCAAGCGATCTTCTCACTTTGCCCTTCCAAGTAGCTGGAACCACAGGTGCATGCCAGCACACCTGACTAACTTTTTTATCTTAGAGATGGGGGTCTTGCTGTGTTGGCCAGCTTGGTCTTGAACTCCTGGGCCCAAGCAATCCTCCTGCCTTGGCCGCTCAAAGTGCTGAGATTACAGACATGAGCCACCACACCTGGCTAAAGCAGGATCTAGAAGAGACATTTGCATACCCATGTTCATAGCAGCATTACTCATGTGTCCATCCCAAGTGTCCATCAGTGGATGAGTGGATAAACAAACCGTGGTCTATCCAGGCGATGGAATATTTTTCAACCTTAAGGGATGGAAATTCTGACACATGCTACAACATGGATGAACCCTGAAGACACTGGGCTAAATGAAATAAGCCAGTCACCAAACAACAAATACCATATAATTCCACTTATAGGAGGTATTATTTTGATGCAAAAGTAATTGCAGTTTTGCTATTACTTTTAATGACAAAAGCCGCGATTGATTTTGCACCGACCTAATACTAAAAGTAGCCAAATTCAGAGACAAAAAATAGAAAAGTGGGTGGCAGGGGCTCAGGGGAGGCGAAATGGGGCGTTAGCAATTAATGAGTACAGAGTTTAGTTTTGCAAGATGAGAAGAGTTCTGGAGATGGAGGGTGATGATGGCTGCATTGTTATGAATGTTCTTGATACCACTGAACTGTACACTCAAAAATGGTTAAGATGGCAAAGTTATGACCGGGCGCGATGGCTCATGCCTGAAATCCCAGCACTTTGGGAGGCCGAGGTGGGCAGATTGCTTGAGCCCAGGAGCTTGAGACCGGCCTGGGCAACATGGCAAAAACCCGTCTCTAAAAAAACCACAAAAATTAGCCAGGCATAGTGGTGTGCGCTTGTAGTCCCAGCTACTCAGGAGGTTGAGGTGGGAGGATTGCTTGAGCCTGGGAGGTGGAGGTTGCAGTGAGCTGAGATCACACCACTGCACTCCAACCTGGGTGACAGA